CTGACCTGTTCCTGATGACCACAGAACTTACTTTAGCCAGAGAACAACAAGCTTTGATAGAGATGGTCATTCAAAGTTAAAATAAATGTTTCAAAGTTAAACATACCTACATCATTCATGTTTATTATGAACTTGACTCTACAAATGTAACCACAAACAATCCAGTTCTGCAGTTTGAAATGCATTTACTGTTACAGAAAGCAGTGACAAGGAGAACCCTTCCGTATATAGACCCATGAGTCACAACTGGCTCTGACTCATACATAAATTATGCTTTACCAAGTAGACAAATAAAATAAGCAGAAATTAAAATGGGGAACTTTTTAGTAAGAGTCAAGACTTTCATATCCATATTCATATACAAATTTGGAGTCAACACATACAGTATGTCATAAAAATCAGCTACTACTTCACAATATCCTGAACATACGTATTTAACTGACAGGAAGTATAAGCTGAGCTAAATCAGACTCAAGGGTATCGATTTAAAACTGTCACACAAAACACAAAGGTTTTGAAACAGAAGGAGCATCGTTAAATTTAATCTGTTTGCAGAATTCGACCAGCTGTTATAGGAAATCAAGCACAGCCACAAAAAACAACCTGCAGCTCAACATGCAACACCTTTTACAGTTTCATCCTTTCCAATATACTGTCATTCATAGTTCTTGTAAAGTTACAAATATTTTCTTGTACCATTTTCAGAGTGTAACAAGACAAAGCTATTGAACAATATAAACAAAGAAAAGGAAGCCACCAAAAATTGTGTTAATATGCACGTCAATATGATGCTTGAGTTGCATGCAGAATACTGTATTCATATTTATGTTTATGCTACAGCACAAACTGACCAATGACATGCATAACATTACATTCTCCTACTCTAGTGTGTCAGATCCACGCAACGCCTTCATTATATCATTATCTCTCAAAACGCACAGAGCGCTTGGGTTTCTCCCTGACCCCAAACTCATGTTCTCTTTTTACCCACAGTCATCCTGTTCTGCACCGACTCTGCTGGAGCTGGAGGCGGCAGTGCGATACATGATGCCGATAAAGCTCCAGCAGGACACCATACTGTGATTAAGGTGTCCACATGCCTGAGATCAGAATAATCCACAAAGCTTAGCTAGATGGTTGATTGATTACTTTATATGACTTTTATAAGTTAATGTGATAAGAAAATACAACTTGTAAGCAGTGACTAATTCAGAATAAAGTTTTATAGTCTTTTCCTTAGAAGCAGATTCTCAAGTTTTATCTGATCCCATGTACAATATTTCAGTTCCAATTTTCTTTTATGCTCGGCGTATGGCTGCAGGCCACTCTCCTTTTATTCAATTACCACTCCATACTGTAAGGGACAGATTGTACCTTTATTTCAGATCAAAAATTATAGGTTGTTCGAAAAGAGCAATTTAAAGGAATCCATAAATGAAGCTTTTTTTTTTATTGCATGCATAAAACATAATTCATTTGCTTTTAGCTTCAACCCTATTCTGGTAAAGAAAATTAGCTTATGATGTACTCAACCTAATCACGTCTGTTTTTGAAGTACAACAGTGAACCCTCTGTCACTTTTTGTGTCAGTTTTGCCAAAAGTACAACCTGTCAGTACATCCAATTACCATAACATGTCCATATAAAGCGATTCAATATTGACAATAATTTGAACATCTGGAAAGGCACCCAGCATGTTACTAAACCACAAATATGTTTCTTAATTAAAAACCATACATGAGGTTTCATGTTAAGTGATTTGTGGTGCTGTAGTAAATTTTTGCAGTGACAGATTTTGTGCTAAAACCAGTAACAAAGAAGGTCAACCAACACCAGCACCACAACCATCAATCAACATATTTGCCTCTGTTCAGTAAAAACATGATAATAAACCACAATGTCATAAAATATGGTTATATGGCAGACTGATAAGGAAGAGATTACAAGTACTGTGACAGAGGAATTTATAGTATGGACTTGAGAAAAGGAAGAATTCCTTAAAAACAAAAAGTTTGATGAAATAAATTCAAAATATTAGAGTGGCAGTCAAAAAATTCTCCACTGGGACTTTTAAACACAAGAAAATAATTAGAAAAATAAAATAAGAATTTGTGAACGGACGAGATAAAAAGGTTTTAAAAGGGCTGTCATTTTGGCTTATTTAATGGGGATTATCAGGCATAAACCCAAGCTGCAATCAGTATTAACCAAAGAGTTCATAATTTGTTCCTCTCCAATTATTGTCACTTTTGTCAGTGCATCATTTTGACTCCCTGTGAGAGGACTCTCACAAAAAGGCAAAAATCAGAGTAATGCGAGCTGCCAGCAGAACTTAGCTGGAGTGTGGCGGGGGCATACGGTGCACATTAAGTCATTAAAGCCCCAATGCTTACAGTCCCTCCCTAACCCCCCATGGTACATGCCAGCAACTCCCTTTTAGACGTTGCACTGCCTTTTGCATCTTAATAAGTTGGGAGAAACTAAAAGCGAAGGCAAGGCGGTCTTTTAAAAGGAAGCAGTATAAATGACTGAACACGCACCCTACGGCAGGCATGCCGGGGGGTTTCCAGGGGTTGGTGCAAGCAGGGCCAATTGTGTCAAGATGAAGGCGGCAGAGTAAAACAAAACTGACAAATCAAAGAAGCCAAGCCCTGCAGAAGGGGAAAGAGCAATCAGGACAACACATTCAACAGCACAGCTCGTTTCTGCATCAACGACAAACAACGCAACCTAAAAACTGCAATTAGCAATTAAAATGAAAAGTCCATGTGCTGTAAAGCTGCATCACTTCCAAATCAAAATCCAGCGTAAACCATCTCCGTAATACTATGGCCTTTGATTACATGTTTTTATCCTTCCAGTGGAAGACAACTGTAAAGTGGCATTTGTGAAACTGATCCTTACAGAAACTTTATCACTTGTCCTAATCCATATAATATACAAAAGCAACTGTTCAAACTTTGCCTTTAAAGAACGGCCAAATCTATCATTAATAAAATAAACAGTAGGCGTTCAGGCAACTTTCACTAGATGCAAATGCTTTGTCTACATGGGGAAACCATAATCTCCGTCAACGTTGATAAACCAGGAATAAGCAAATACAAAACAAGACAATTGTAGTGGAATTATGAAAGCACCTTAACCTTTTTTTTTTTAGTTGGTAGAAATAAAAACACTGAAACCGTTAAGTTAGTTCTAATGAAATATTAGCACTAAACTGTTTACTGTGGATCTTTGCTTGTGATAATAAAGGAATCCTCTAAGGTGGCTATAATGCTGATACAGCCTTTATCTGCTTGAATCCAAAAATTAGTGTATTAAGTGCATTTTAATTGACTTATATTTAATCTGCAAACTGTCTTGCAAATGAAAAAAGATCTGCTGGTGCTCATAGAAGACATTAAAAGTAGGTCACACAGTCTCCTGTGAGTCATACGTTTTGGCAAGAGACCAAGGAGAGCAGGTATATGAGAGACAGAACTGGAGCTGAGAGGCCTGGAGGTTTACAGCATTTGAAAAGTTTTAAAAGATAATCAAGATCAACTTAAAATGTTGCTTTACTGTGGCGGAATGCAATACTAAATTTAAAAAGAATGCAACCTTTGTTGTTACATTTTTAATTGCAGCCAAAATTTATGCTGCAACCTCACATTGCAGTAAGGTTTTCAGAAGGACATGCATCTTCCTACTCCATCTTTAAGCTTTACTCCTTTAAGATATATTTATCACATATAAGGTGTAGCCTTGGTTTTCTTTCATAACTGAGGGCCCAAGCTTGGCTCCCAGGGCCTCAGAACCTTGGAAGAGCTGCTGACTCACAGGGTCAGACTTTGGCCTGAGATTTCCAAGCACTTATTGTGTAAAGTTAGTGACTAAGCCTGATCAAAGTTGTTGGCCAAACAGTCACATAGAAGAAAAACAGGGTTTGAAGCAGCTACAGCGCAAACAGTATATTTAAGACCCTATGACCAACACAGTGATACTTTCTTAATTACATTAAGCAACTGGCACAGACCATGTCGCCTCTGCCAATGAGTCCCTCCTCCTGTTAACCTCTCCGCCCTCTCATTCATCCACCCTAAGGGAGAGGCATGCAGGCCAGAGGAAGTATGACTCATCGGAGTAACAAGATGCATTCTTCTGAATTCTCCATAGACATGTTGTTTGCAACGTGAAGAGCATGTGGAGAGAAAGAAAAGTAAAAACAAAATTAAACTAATCAAGAAATGGCTCAT